GGGTTAGCAAATTTATTGATTACTTTTTGATACCTATAGTTAAAAGACAGACCAGTTACATTAGAGATAGTGGGGATTTCATAAATAAAATAGAAAGTTTAAGGTCTGATCGGGATTGCCTTTTAATCTCTTTTGACTGCACCAGCATGTATACAAACATGGAGTTCAATGAACTCATTCAATCTGTTGGACGGGCTTATAGCAGTGCAGTAAAAGAAGATTATCCGATAAAATTACCTAGCTGTGAAACAATTAAATCGTTAGTAGCCACAGTGTTGAAAAACAATTATTTTGAATTTAATGACCGATACTTTGTACAGAAAATAGGCGCTAGTATGGGAAGTAAATGCAGCCCAGAAATTTGTGATATTAGAGCATTCGAAGTTATCAATGAAATTATAGAAAAATATAAGTATAAAAATAAGATCTTATTTTACGGAAGGTATAGAGATGATGCGTTTATAATAGCTCATTCATCACGAGAAGAAGTTGAGGAGTTTTTTAAAATAGCAAATGATCATCACCCTTTATTAAAGTTTACTTATGAAATTTCAAACGAAGAAATTATTTTTCTCGATACAGTCGTACATAAAGGGTTGAGGTTCAGGAACACAGGTATCCTTGATATAAAGAGCTACATCAAACCTACTAATACATTTCAATATTTAGATAGGACGTCTATGCATAACCCGATAGTCTTCTCTAGATTTATAAAAGGGGAAGCTATTCGCCACCAACGAAACAACAGCAACACGCAGAATTTAAAAGATACAATTTGTAAATTCAAAGGCCATCTTAAGCAAAGGGGATATAAGGAGCATGAAATACATCATAACTGTGAATCGGCTCTCAATATTGAACGATCAGAGTTACTCCGCTTTAAACAAGAATCGGACAAGCAGATACCACTAGTATTTGTAACTAAATATCACTTTTCGTTAGGAAATATAAATAAAGCTTTGCGAAAACATTATAAAAAACTACTTCGCAATGCGAAATGTAGGGAGCTATTTCCAAAACCACCAATGGTGGCGTATAGTAGACATCGGAACTTAAAAGAAATACTGACTAGCTCGATAGTCAAAGCTTAGTACAACATGAAGGATTGGGTCAGGACCCCTGATGAAGCACCCACCCTTCATATGAGCCACGGAATATTGTAGAGTTTGTCCTATTCTGTACTGCAGAAACACGATGTGTTGGGTCCTGGAGAATAGGCAAACGTGGCTGTTAGGTACTTTCAGACATTCAACATGTAGATTATAGGACATTGTCCTTTTTAGTACCTTCCCGTGTATCGCTTCAATTGTAATTGATGTCGATTCGTTTTTCCTGTTCTCAGGGACTCACACTTGATAAGTGTTTCTGCAAGGCATTCTTAAGTCTCGCCATTGTCAAAAATTTGCTGACACGTGTTTATTTATGAGTTTGGAAAAACCCGAGCTAAAAGAATCTCTGGTAGCCTAGTTCGATTATTTCATTCATATTATGAATAAGACAGGAAGGAACAAGCTAAAATTAAAGAAAAGTAGAAAGATGGACAGTTCACATCCACCATTAAACCAAAAAGCACTCGCGATCGCTGCTAATGAAATGAACGACAGTGACTTCGATGATCTGGACCTAACAGATCTAAATGACAGTACCGGACCACCACCCATAGATATTGCTTTTGAAGCTGTTAACCGAATAGAAGAGGTAATGAACCAAAGACTCAGCATAGCGAAAGCCAGAGAAGGAATGGTGTACGGCAAAACATCAAATAATATGCCGCCCTTCTGTCACCTGAATATGAGATGCACCCCTGATCTGGGCAATGTTGAAATGAACAATTTGTTTAGGGATCAAATGAAGAACATCACAGAAGAAACAAGAAATACTTTCACGGACAGAATTATCCGAACATTAGACGGTTTCCTGGAAGAAAAAAAGGAAGCAATAACAACTATAAGAAGAGAGGCGAAGGAAAAAATTGGAATTACAAGTAAAAGTGCAGGTACAGCAAGGTCAATAATGTACAAAAAATTAGGAGAACTGAAAGACCATAATGACAGTAAGCTAGTCGAATTCAAAGCAGCAATCCGTTACAAACAATCCGAAAAACACAATGGGCCATATGACCAAAGGAAAAGACACAGAGACAATTCATATAATTACTAATTATAATTCTATGGAAATTTGTTATGTTGTAATTGGATTTTTCTATTTCTTGTTTAATAAAACAAGTGTTAATCTGTCATCTTAATTGGATTTTAATGTTCTTAGTACCACTTCTACCACTCCTCAATACAGATAAGTGGAGTTATGCATGTTAATTAAGGTATCAATATATTGGATAAAATATGTTTACTTTCCAACCACTGACATATTGGGTCTTCTGAGGTCAACATCATGATTTATTATTAAGTAGATGTACGATAAAATGTGTGCATTCAGTTTCCATTTGTCTGTGATTGCAGACAGCTGGTTTTCCCATTGTGGTTTGTTTTAGGCGTAAAGGTTATAACTGTGATCGCAATTATAACTATCAGAATTGCTATCGTCAATATTAAGAATGGCTCGCAGATTTAAAAAGAAAGTAAAAACTGTTAAACAAAAAATAAGAAAACTCGATCGGGTTTCTAGAAAGAAAAGACAAAAAAAAAAGCACAGGTATATAAAGCTAAACAATATGTATATAACTTAGCCAACTGTCAATTGACAGACGAACAATACATAGTTCTAGGTAGGGGTTTAAAATTTATACCTATGCCTAAGAAGTGTAATATAGGCAGAACTGTAATGGCAGATTTCAATGAATTTGCCAGAAAACTTAGATGTCGTTTTCATTTTGGCAATACAGAAAGTCGGGGAATGCATCCGTTCCGACAGAAATCATTTTATGAACCAACACCTGCTTGCTTTGAACTTGAAAATTATCTAGATCTAACAAAGTTTGAATTATCTAATCTTGATTTACGAAATAACTACTACAATTTCACTAAAGAACAACAGCTAGGATTACGATCTTTGAGAAACATGCATGATATTATTTTCTCTAAAAGCGACAAGGGAGGCGCAATTGTAATATCTAAAAAGACACACTACATTAAAGAAGGGTTAAGGCAGTTAAACTCTATCTATTACACGGAGATACAAGAACCTAATCTATTACTGATTAAAAATAATATACAAACACAAATCAGCAGGATTTTTGACAATGGTGAGATTGATGGGATAACTCTTGATTTTCTCCGTGGCTCATCGAAAGAGGGACCCAAATTGGGTCGTCTTTTTCTCCTTCCTAAACTTCACGAATTGAGTGAACTTGTTATTCAAGGGATAAAAAAACAAACGATGGCAGTAAATGAATTGCCCCCATGCAGACCAAGTATTTCTCAATGTAACTCTGTCACCGAAAGGGTTAGCAAATTTATTGACTTTTTGATACCTATAGTTAAAAGACAGACCAGTTACATTAGAGATAGTGGGGGATTTCATAAATAAAATAGAAAGTTTAAGGCCTGATCGGGATTGCCTTTTAATCTCTTTTGACTGCACTAGCATGTATACAAACATGGAGTTCAATGAACTCATTCAATCTGTTGGACGGGCTTATAGCAGTGCAGTAAAAGAAGATTATCCGATAAAATTACCTAGCTGTGAAACAATTAAATCGTTAGTAGCCACAGTGTTGAAAAACAATTATTTTGAATTTAATGACCGATACTTTGTACAGAAAATAGGCGCTAGTATGGGAAGTAAATGAAGCCCAGAAATTTTTGATATTAGAGCATTCGAAGTTATCAATGAAATTATTGAAAAATATAAGTATAAAAATAAGATCTTATTTTACGGAAGGTATAGAGATGATGCGTTTATAATAGCTCATTCATCACGAGAAGAAGTTGAGGAGTTTTTTTAAAATAGCAAATGATCATCACCCTTTATTAAAGTTTACTTATGAAATTTCAAACGAAGAAATTATTTTTCTCGATACAGTCGTACATAAAGGGTTGAGGTTCAGGAACACAGGTATCCTTGATATAAAGAGCTACATCAAACCTACTACTAGTAGTACATTTCAATATTTAGATAGGACGTCTATGCATAACCCGACAGTCTTCTCTGGATTTATAAAAGGGGAAGCTATTCGCAACCACCGAAACAACAGCAACACGCAGAATTTAAATGATACAATTTGTAAATTCAAAGGCCATCTTAAGCAAAGGGGATATAAGGAGCATGAAATACATCATAACTGTGAATAGGTTCTCAATATTGAACGATCAGAGTTACTCCGCTTTATACAAAAGAATCTGACAATCAGATACCACTAGTATTTGTAACTAAATATCACTTTTCGTTAGGAAATATAAATAAAGCTTTGCGAAAACATTATAAAAAACTACTTCGCAATGCGAAATGTAGGGAGCTATTTCCAAAACCACCAATGGTGGCGTATCGTAGACATCGGAACTTAAAAGAAATACTGACTAGCTCGATAGTCAAAGCTTAGTTCAACATGAAGGATTGGGTCAGGACCCCTGATGAAGCACCCACCCTTCATATGAGCCACGGAATATTTTAGAGTTTGTCCTATTCTGTACTGCAGAAACACGATGTGTTGGGTCCTGGAGAATAGGCAAACGTGGCTGTTAGGTACTTTGAAATTCAGACATTCAACATCCAATAATCAATGAACGCAGATTTATCAAAAGACGCATCAGATCACAACAGCGTCAGGGCATGGCATGTGAGCGGGATCAATTTCATAGTCAAATTCTTGAATCTGGAAAATCTACAAATTTTTATAAACTTATGTCATATATTATAGAATGTGATTAAAAACGATCAGCTGATTTTTACAGAGTTTTCTCCCTGTAGTGTTATGTACCACATTAAAATATATAATGTGTAAGGAGCACCACGGTATTATTTATACTACTATCAATAATAAAAACCATAAAATTCAAGGATAAACAAAATATTGAAATGATGAAAAATTCAATAACAGGTTAACGCACTTCACATGATTGGTCAGTCATCTGTATGGTCAGATGTTTTATCCAGGAAAAATATATAAAATACTGCAATTGTATCAAATGACTTCATATTAATTGTCATATCACTTTTTAATGAAGGGCTTGAACAGGAAAATCTTTTTCAACAAGGAAAATGACTTTCATTTTTTTCTTTCAATTAGTCTATTTTTTTTAAAGTTTTTTTATCATTTTCTTTTGAGCGCTGACACTTATCCGTGGTCATATAATATTAACTAATTCCCGGATTCTTCAATTGTTTTTTTTTTATTCTTGTGATCATAGTGTTTGTTTTACATCTTATGATTAATCACATGCTTTAAATGATATATATATATCCAAATCTTTATTTTTATTCTATGACTGATATTTACATTGATACCATACATTTGTCTGAAGAGTAAAAATGTTCCTGCTAGTTGCTGGTTTACTTGTGGCATCAACATACATGCATACAGCTGAAGCATGTTGTTGCATGCCAGAGAAATTTGAACTGCACGAATATGTGGAAGATATCTTTACTTGGCCATCAGCAAGCATACAAACGGTATTGTTATATTATCAATATATAAATACATTTTAATTTTTTATTTGCAAGACTATTTAAAAAAATATATGAAATTAAAGCTAAATACAACCGTGCAATAAAACATATTTAGCCTGACGACAACAAACCTAGTTTTTTAAAATTACAATAATATGATTTCCGTAAAATAGATATCTTTAGAGTTAACATGTTCATACTCATGTAGTCATGTCATGTTACTTGTATCTACAAGTAAGATTCTGAGTTTCATTTCTCAAACACGTATAAATTAAGAAAAGTTACACGAGATAAATGTATTGCATCCAAAGCGCTTTTCTGAATAAAAGTTCACCAGGAACACTGAAAACCATAGAATTAAAACCCAACGATGTATAAATAAATTAGCTTTATATATACATATATATGTGGATAACTATATCCTTTGTTTTTCTATTATATGATCAAAATTGGCCTTTAAAAGAATAGTCAAACCCATTATAGGCCAACGTCTCCTGAGGGCCTGAAAACTATGTAAGGTTTGATTAGCCTGAAAGAATTATGACTGTGGAAATCAATGTAAGGTTAACTTTGCCTGTGGGAGTTAAAACAATCTAAGGTGAATTGCCCGAGGGAGCTGAACATTAGTTTTCTTTTTAAAAATAATTACAAAACACATATTGTTTTTCTTTACTTTGTGATATATTTTGAAGAAATAATGTAACGGGTGACAGAAGTGAAAACTATTACAAACAGCATATACATTTCTTTTTTTGTTCTTTTTCAGGGCTATGCAAATATATCTTTCGACTTGGAAGTGAAAAAATCTGTATTTTTCTTCTATGACGTGAAAGTAAACGGAAAAGACGTACCCACACCAACATATCTATTTGATCATTCTTCGGTAAGTACAACAAATATCGTGTATACTAGTATTTAACTGTATCAAATACAGGGCATGTTCTTAACATGACATTATGTTGATGACACTTCAATTGTAGTAAAGTATACCAAAAAATGATAGAGATAAAATAGAAGAAATATAGTGTTCACCTCATTATGTGCAAATGATTTGATTTTTTATCAATACTGTTTGCTTTATGCATTACAACTTGAATCTAATGAAATCCGTTCGAGCACACGGACTCACTCATTATGGTATATTACAAAGTATTGGTTTTGGCTACATGCTAGCTAGACGAGGATGTATAATGCTTCACATTGTGAGTTCGCTTCCGCTGTACCAAATAATAGTACTAATGATTGATTGACCGATGATTAGTCTATGCTTCAACTCACTAGAGACATATTGTGATGGTCTTAGATTTTAAGACACAATTATAGTCGTGCGGAGAATGTATGCATAGCATAAGACGCGTTCCCTTTCTACAAACTTCATATTTCGAATTACTATGATTCTATCTCTTTTTTTTGATATATTTCAAAAGGATTTTCGGATTCAGAACATATATTGCCTCGATCTTGTTTAATGAGAATTCGCACTGTCAAAGTTTTAATGTCAATGTAATCTTTCTTTCTTGTGAAATTGTGCTGGTGTTTTGTTCAATTAAAAGAGATACACTCAGATATTCTCCTCGTCTTTTTTTGGTTTAGTTTTCCACTCCTTCCATATAAGTAATCCCAAACTAATGTGTAGTAGAAACATATTTCCTAGTTCAGCGTCCTATACTCTATAATGTTTGTATGTTTTAGGGATTTTTGTACGTATATGATCTCCGGTCTAAATATTGTAAAAAGATACCTATTGGGAGAATGAACCCTGTATGCGTACCAGGTAATTGGCATTTATAAGATGTAGTTCGTACCGAATAAAACGAAATCGTAAAATCTATATAAGTATCAAAAAAATGATCTTAGAAATACCGACTTACATTTGTCAAGAAAAATAGTGCGACAGTATACATACTCTTATTATTTGTCAACTCTGTGGAGCTATAAATACACTACTATAAAATGAACTCGTAAAATACATCATTCGAATATCTGAATTATACTAAGGCCTTTTTCACATTTATAAACATATACTTTTATTACAATGATGTATTTTAAAATTCTTTATAAAAACATTTTACCTTTTAAATTAGTTTATAAAAAGTTTCATTAACTTAAAGACACTATATCTACTTTGTTGATAATCTAAAAACTCTAAAGACAAAAAATAAGCATCTTTGAAAGTTCTTTTATTCCAAATTCAGATATATATTGATGATGTTTTGTCACTCAATAACCCATACTTTTAATGAGTGTTTTTATCTCATTTTCTATATAAATAAAATGTTAAGTTAATGTAGAACTGTGCATTTTGTAATTTTTAAATATTGATCTCAGCATTTTTGTTAAGTACAAAGTATTAAAAGGGTAATTATTATCTTCGTATACATCAAAATTGAATAAAAAATGGTATTAAATTGCTTAAGAGCAACAATGAATTTGAAAACAACTTGACCTTCATCATTTAAACTTCTGATGTTTTCTTTCTTGTAGCATATAATTCTACAAACACCACACACCTCGGCGCAGCGAAAGATATGCTATCTGTTAAGACATATCAGTCCACATCTGGAAATCAAACAACTAGTACGATAGTAACGAAAGAGAAATGTTATCTCATCAGCTCCGAACTCAATGGTAAGATTACTCTTTTTTTGAAATGATGCTTGTAAATGTGTGATACCAAATTTAATGCACAAGTCAATAGTTTCGTAAACTTTCCAGTACGATCCAGACTCAAAGTTTGTGAAGGTTTATATTTATAACATTCAAGGGCATAAAAACCCCAAAAAGCTACTTAACAGAGAAAAATCGTCTATGTTCTAATTCGTCCGAGGGAGTTTCGCTGCACTAGCCGAATGATTAAACAATAGTGTTATAAATTGCAGTCATGGAAAAAATTTGTCAGACAGTTATATATTGTTTTAAGTGAAAAGAGAATTGTTGCTGATTGATTTGCAAAAAAAAAACCAAAACAAACCAATATCGTTTCTTGGGAAATATATGTATTTCTTTTAATAAATAAAGGAAGAAAAATAGAATAAAAAATGCACATATGATTCTTTATTTGGTCTTTTTAAACCTTTTTATCATTGATGAGTCTTTTATAGACTAAAAGCGCGTCTGACAAACAAAATGTATTTTCAAGTCTGGTTTTTATGATTAGTTTATTTAAATCAACGTCTATATTTTAAACGTTGTCTGAAATAAACAAAAATCATGTTTTCGTCATTTACAAGTCTGATATTAATACGATTATAAATGTATACACGTTGTTTGAATATACAAAAACAAATCCAAGAAAGTTTTCCAGTTTTAATGATTAGGCAATTTCTTTATCAATATAACATGTATTCTAATACACTTTAACTACAGTAATTACTTTATTACAGACTCTGAGTATCCAACAAGTTTGAGAACACATTTTTACGGTACGACATTAGGGATAAAGGATCCGTCGGTCTTCAAAATCCCCGCTATTTGTAAGAAGATCTTTTGGAATACACAGGTAACGTTTTGCTGAAGAGACTAAAAAAGTACTTGATAAATTTGCTGCAAAAATATTGAATACGGGATTAGCTATATGACCAAAATTGACATAAAAGACTTAAAAATGAAAAATGCGGAAAAAATTGGAGGCTATATAACGAACAAACTGTCATGTTTTAATATAACATACCGCTGGTGGGTACACCATTAAGAGTACTTTGGGTCTAGATTGACCCAATCGTTCGGAGGTCATAATATTTACAGCTTATACATGACATGCCATGGGTCAACTAAATTCTACTTGCTCTAAACAATTAACCACATTGAATGTACAAACATACGTTATTGACTGATAGTGATAATATCACCAAAAAAAAAATGATGTCACCATCAACTTTTAATGAACCTGAAAACGTTATTGTTAGAGAGAAAAAAATAATCAAAGTACTGAAGTACTGAACATCGGATGACCGCAGGTTCTTGTGGATGGTCAAAAGCACATGTCACAGAAACAGATCACATCTCTATACCTGAAACTGAGGTTAATTTACAGAGATTTTTTTTTTTCTTATACAAGTTCGTGCTTGGATGATGAATAAATGACAGGAAATTCAACCTCACCGTAATAACTATTATATTGTAGTGATACAAATCAGTATACCTTAGACTATTATACTAATATAATAATAGTTCCAGAGAATACACTGGTTTGTTGTTATATATTATATCAATATTACGGTTGCATGTATATATAATTTTCATCTATATGTATATCATACTATTCTACTATTATTATAGTGTAATGCAAGTGTATGGTGGACACTCTTCTGTAAAAAAAAATCAAAGTCTTAAAGGCTGTAAAAGCAATTGCTGCCATGTTAATGTTTTGTGGACTTTTATTTTTCATCCATATATATAAGAATTAAACCTGACAGGACAGGAGTGTTGACTAGTGAGAAGCAAGACGGTTTTAACTTTATATCAATATAAGACTTTAGCAGGAAATCGTTTTAAATATGTTTTATATTTTACGAGGAGACAACAAGTTTACCAGGCTAAAGTTGGGGTTAATTATACATGTACTGAAACATATAACTGAAAAAAAAATCATTATGGATTATCCCCTGGTAGTGTTTGTAACTGGGCAATAATTTCCTTTATTGATTTAATTTTAACCATTTTCATAATTAATTTAAATTAACCATTCAGTGAAAACATTTCAACTTTCCAGACGCAAATGTTGAAAAACGGGACAGAAATAAAATATCTTACAAGACATAAACATGTAAAAAATAAATATATATTTCAGCTTACTACAAATATTTTCATAATGTTACTTTGACATCATTCCTTAAAACTAAGTCCCAAACATAATTGCTCAGTTGACATGTGTCATCCTCATGCGATACGAGATAACTATAATTCTGATGCAATCCTGAAAAGGGGGGTCATCACAAACAAACATGACATTAAATTGTCATTATACGAACTAGAACAAACAGCTCTATGTTGCTTTGATATTTATCAATTTTCAGGAAACATGTGAAATAAATTTCAGGTCCATTTCATTATAGTGCCTAACAAGATTGCGTGAGGTAGACGAAATTGACCTTAAAACGATCGTATTGTCTTTTGATGTCCAAAAATAGGCAGATCGGACATATAAGGACTTTATCTAATGACTACATAAATTTGGGATTTATTATTATTATAATATTCTAATGAAACTGAAAATTGTATATTTTTTTAGGATAAACAACAATTTTACCTGGCGTAGCCGTTCATAAATGTTTTTCTGCATTTATCTTCGAAAAATGGCGTATTTAATGGAATAGAACGTTAATACAGTAAACTTTCTCTTTTTTCTCCGCGATAGGCTATCAAAAATAATTTATCTAATGTGTATGTGGAAAATTATGTGAAAAGATAAAAAGTGGCAATTGTTACCTTTCATACCATAAGTTTCGTTCATCTGATTCTGACCAATGCTTATATACTAAATATCTATTTATATGCCGCTATTATTGTTGTTGTTACCAATTATGTAAATCAATTGTATCTGATTTTATGCCCTTTATGGGTCCTGTAATTTGGGAAATAAAAAAAAAATCTATTCATTGATAAAACGTAATATGGACTGGTACAGTGTCCAGTTTGCAGGTCATTTAATTTTCTGTACACATTCATGCACGCTCTGATTTAATCAATATACTCGTACGAAAAAGCATGAACAGTTTGAAGGTAATCTAATATAGCAAACATCGAATTCCCTCACAAAATGTTATCACACACTACAGTAAGGGGAGTCAGTTAAGTTTGTCTATTTTTAGATACTATACAGGTAATCTTTTGAAAACTACGTATACAACCTGTGTGACCTGTGTAGTGATTTTGATTTTACGATAAATTCATGAATGAACAATAATTTTATGAATGAACATGAGCACCTGACCTCTTTCTTAATCACCTATTAAACATATAAAACCGTATTTAATAAGGAGATAATTCAGTCAAATTTTCAGTACTAAATCAACAACTGAAAAGATTCCATTTTTTGATGAAACATCGTACGAACGGAGAACGGAATCGCAGGTATAAAAATGCACTTTTTTCCCTTGTAATGACCGCGGATCTATAATTTTTATAGATCGGTTGAAATCCCAAAACTAATTTGCATAATGGAAATTTAGGCGATAGCAATACATCGGAGTGACCTCAAGGTCATCCTCTGTAAAAACGAAAAAGAGTCTGAATGTTCAGTAAAAGGTGTATATCGGCTTAACTGTCTAGCATTTGCCAATTGTTTCCACTATCAACTGGCAACTCATCTTTTTAAATGCAGTTCTGTCGCATTCATTTTACTTTGCCTTTTAAACTTTTTTCGAATCCAGCGTCACAGATGAGTCTTTTGTAAACGAAACGCGCATCTGCGTACAAAATTATAAGCCTGGTATCTTTGATGAGTTTTTTTAACAAAAGAATCTCGATAAATATAACTTCGATTCTATCGATCATGATGCATCTGTGTCAGGTCCCTCCTTCAAGGCATAGCTTTTGTTCTTATTTTTTTCTGTTAAATATGCTATGTACAGATGTAGTTTGTCTGTCTGATCGGTTTTGATCCTCCTATATATATCCTTTTCATTTCAACATCTAAGAGTTTTGGCATTTAGCATAGTTCACAAGAATTATCCGTGAATTTAGGTTAATGCTTTATTTAATGAGCCAAAGTTATAAGGAAAACTTTAGTATATAGTTAATTTGTAATTATGTAATATCACTTCAAATTTATTACATTATTCTAATTTCAGGAATTACCACAGGCTCACGGTCGTGGATTTCATCCATTCTACTTATAGAAAAAAACGAAACGGTTAAAGACGGTACAGATTGGGTGTCAAAAAATGATAAAAAAATTGTTAAAATTCATCTTTCAATTATAAAATGTAGTAGCATTGTGCATCTATTTTACTATATAATTTTATATTTTCTCTGCCGAGTTTCCAATGAATTAAATATTTCTATCTTTGTCCCTATCAAATTTGTTTCAATCAAATTGCATAAAATTTCATACCATTTTCAACGTCGTCTTGTTAGCAATATTTTAAACGTTCACAGCGAATGACTAAATACAGGTACATGTATGAATCACAGCAATGTCTTTTTAAATTATTTTGAAACCAAACGTTAACGCATAGGATAGAACAAGTATTTTATCAAAGGCATCTGCGCTTTGATCTTTTAAATCATTTCAATAGATTTTCAAAACATATTTTATTAATTTAGTTATCGCCTCCTTATTACTTTAATTCATATTAATACTGTGTTTCTGCTTGCTTTGAATATTGTGTCTAACTGACTAAGTATATTATAATAAACGCATTTGTAAACAAACCTTGTGTTATTCCCTGTTCCATTAAAAGCCATTAAAAGAAATGATGTATATAAGTTCTAAATCTACAGAAAGAATATGTTGTTACCACTGAAAGAAATACAGGAGGCAGAAAAAAATCTTAAAGAGAGAGCAGTAAATAAAATACCTGATACATACATTTGTAGATGAAATAATATTAAAAACTCTTGAAAAATCTTGAAGAGAGAGCAGTAAATAAAATACCTGATACATACATTTGTAAATGAAATTATATTGAAAACTGGAATATATATAATACTCATTACTTTACACCATAGAATGAAAATATACATCTTTTGGAAATTATTGATAACTCAAAATATTTAAGACATTTACAAACGTTACGGTTTCCTACATGCATTCATAGTTCGGGGGTATAACATCCTTTAGTGGTGATGTTGTGTATATATCTCGTCAATTATCTAAATACATGTAAACTTAATTGCCCCTTTGATCAACTTATTCTTTACATTAAAACAATCCTAGCTATAAGGTTTAATACATAATTAAACATTTATTGCGTTCCTGTTATTAACACTTATGGTTCACATCCTGCTGATACATGTAATTTTGCATTACACATTGTCATGCTTTCTCAGATGACTATAAAAACAAGGTGAAATTGGGCTTTGACGTAGCTGTCATCACTGCGAGTTCTCTGAGATCGGTACTTTGTGTCATATGTTATGATTACTGCCAATCTGATGAATAAAACACTATTAATTGAATTTCACTTCCGGTAGCATGGAGATTGCATGAAGTGGTGTTTTTTTCTACTCTCCGCCTTTTTATTGAAAAAAACTAGTTATTAAGTCTATATGACTTATGAGTTATGAGTAGGTCATAAAATAGAAATAATAGATCATCCAGAAACAACTCTGTATGTTTTTAGGACATATATCTGATACAAAAGACTTTAATTGCTACAAACATTATTTTAAAAAGAGCATAAGAGTAGACCGAAATCCATTCCCCGTGTAAACAGAGGTCAGTGGTCGGAGTCAGAATCGAGAGTAGATAGTCAATTTTGCGTATTATACTGATACGGCTGATAACCATGGACACCAAGGAACACGAAAGGTATGAGACATTGAAGCATGAATGAATCAAAATCTGTGTCCGAATGCTTTGCAAGTTTGTACCTTAAATTAGAGGGGGATGTCGAAATTCTGAAAACAGAGGTCAAGGTACTAAGGGACAATGTAGAAAACCCTGATTTTCATGCTAAACTCTTGGATGATAGTATACAAGACATACACAACACACTCATCCCTGATATTAAGCAGAAGAAAAAGAATGTTTAAAGCTGGAGTACTGGGGCCGAAAATGGGAACTTGGTGATAAGTGGTGTGGGCGGAACCCCTTTGGTCGAGATGGCAAAAGTGACTGATTTACTTGTCAGGATTTTCTTTGAAAAAACTTTAGAGATACCTATTAAAGGAGCGCATCGAAAAAGTGCTGTTCCAGGCCGTGCATACTAGGAAAAGAGGGAGAGCAAGATCATTGTGCGCTTCAACAGTCTAATAGATCGAGACGAAGTTCTGGCCGCTGGGATGCAATTAAAACGTGGAAGTGGGTATAGTGTCGTGCCAGATGTGCCGCCGTCTGTTGAACACTACGCTTGAAGTTCAATCTTTTAAATGAAAGACGTACACTGCCTTTATCAAAACAGAGGAAAGACCATCTAGTTTACATTAAAGGGTATCCGTTCGTTATGCTGAAAAAGAAGGGATCATCATAGACTTCTAGCAGACTTTCATGTATAACTAACTTTACTGAATTAACGTGACAAAAAATGTATCAAACAAAACTCATTAGAAATTTATAGTAACATTTTGTTTATTATTGTTGTATGATATAATTACACTTTTTTTTTTGCCTTGAGTATTTTAAAACTGTCTCTGAATTGCTTTCTTTTTTGTATGTTCCGGTTACTCCGCACATGACTAATTTGCATATTAGATAGCTCAGGTAAGCATGCGCAAATTTCACAGGATGTTTTGACTTAAGCTTTTCAGATAAAAACACGGATAACAATTCTAAATCACTTTAAGCTAAAGACCCACGGAATATGTGTCTTTTGGGAGTATTTAGGTAAAAGGTATTCCAAATATGCACCCTTTCTGAACTCGTCTAGAAGTCAATAGTTTTTATAAGTTTTGAACGCGGTCACTGGCGGTCAATCTTGAAGCACACATGTCATGAGATAGTTCTTTATTACTTTTCCTTTTTGATGGCTTAAGAGCTCCACATGTAAGTAACATGTCACTAAAGAGTCTTTAGTAACTTTATTATCTTTAAAGTAACATATCAATCTAAGAGATAATTCATAATCAACTAAAACCAGAACAATCTGCTTTCAACAAAAAAGGGGGGACCTCTGTCAACAATGATGAACAGTTAAACATCCGATCCTCTAAATGAAACATTACAAAGTCTCGACTGGGAAACAGATTTAGAGATGTTTACACCATACATATGGATAAAAAACCTTAACCCTTAATGACATGAAGCTAGAGAAAAAAAAAATATAAGAACTAGATTTTGTTTACACAAATGGCTGGGGGGAAAGAAAACTCACTGTATTTTAGTTAATTAAAATGTATTGCCATGAATCGAGAGAAATTTGGTGGTTTTTGTTTGAACGGTAGGAAAAAAGAATTTTTATGTCACTTTCATTTCTCTCTGCTTAATAATTTGTACTTTATTTGTTTATATTGCTCTGAATATGTTTATTGACTGTGTAATTTTAGTACATATATCTTTCACAACTCTAAGTGATACGGAATATGGGTAGTTTGAAAATTGGATGCATAAATTGTAGAGGCCTGTCTTCTGATAAAATAAAACTAGAGGCTCTAAAGAACCTGTGTCGCTCAACTTGGTCTATATGCATATTCAACAAAGGACACTCTCCAACATTGTAGACGAGAATAGAATTAATGACAAAAATCTTAGTTTTTTTTTATCTTATATTGCCGATCATTGAAGTCTGTTAAGTTTCTCTCTATCTTATTTAGCTTTTGCTCCAAATACAAAAGAGAGGGTAAAAAAAATTTCCTAATTTAAGGGCAACAACTTCTATAAAGAGTAACAGTTTACTTATTATATCGGCAAAATTTGACTTGTTAGTAGGCCTTGTCTTGCTTTTCATTTTTGATTATTTAAGTTTCTATCTATCTATTATAATTTTTTTATATAGGGCAAAACGGAAAGAAAATGGTAAAAATCGTCATTAAAGGGCAATAACTCCAATAAGGAGTCGTCGGACAATTTCTGCCATTTGTCTTAATTGTAGATCTTGTCTTGCTGATTATTTTTGTTTATTTAAGTTTCTTTCTATCTATTATAAGTTTTAAGATATAAGACAAAAACGCAAAAAAAAAATTGTACAAATCGTCACCAAAGGGCAATAACTCTAATAAGGAGTCAACTGACGATTTTAACCATAAAACTTATTTGTAGAACTTGTCCTTCTGATCATTTTTGCAATTTAAAGTTTCTCTCTATCTATTATAGTTTTCAAGATAATGGGCAAAAATGAAAAAAAGTGGTAAAATTTTTCATTAAAGGGCAATAACTCCTACAGGAAATCGTCTGACAGTTTTGACGTATATGGACAATTGGTAGAGCTCAACATTTTGAACAATTTTACACTTTCAGATTTCCTCTATTTATAACTGTTATCAGAATAATAGACAAAACTTGCATTTTACCCCATATGTTCTATTTTTAGCCACGTAGTTCATCTTTGTTGGCAAGCGGGGTCGTCGGACACATTTTTCAATCTAAATACCCTATCATGATTGTGGCCAAGTTTGATTCTATTTGGCCCAGTAGTTTCAGAGTAGAAGATTTTTGTAAAAGATTACAAAAATTAACGAAAAATTGTTAAAAGTTGACTATAAAGGGCAATAACTCCTAAAGGGGTCAATTAACAATTTTGGTCATCTTGACTTATTTGTAGATCTTACTTTAATGAACTTTATTGCTGTTTACAGTTTATCTCTATCTATAATAATATTCAAGATAATAACCAAAAACTGCGAAATGTTCTTCAAATTACCAATTCAGGGGCAGCAACCCAACAATGGGTTGTCTGATATGTCTGAAAATTTCAGAGCAGATATATTTTGACCTGATGAACAATTTTATCCCGTCAGATTTGCTCTAAATGCTTTGGTTTCAGAGATATAAGTCAAAATCTACATTTTACCCATATGTTCTATTTTTAGCCATGGCGGCCATGTTGGTTGGTGGGTCGGATCATCGGACACTTTTTTCTAAACTAGAAACCCCAATGATGATTGTGGAGAAGTTTGGTTAACTTTGTGCCAGTAGTTTCAGAGAAGAAGATTTTTGTAAAAGTTAACGACGGACGACGGACGACGGACGACGGACGCCAAGTGATGAGAAAAGCTCACTTGGACCTTTTGGGCCAAGTGAGCTAAAAAGTAGAGATATATTGAGCAAATGTAGAGAAAACTATGATATGGTTTTCTTGGTAGATACTCATAGTAAGAAAGAACTTGAGAAGTATTGGCAAGCAGAATGGGGATATAAAATAATATTTGGGTCTGATACCACGAGCAGTAGGGGTGTGGCTATCTTGTTTAGACCATTTTTTCTTTTGAAAATTTTTGGGCAGAAAGTGGATGAAGATGGGAGTTATGCAATTCTAGATATAAAAATTTTCAATCAGAGAATGACAATAGCAGTAGTATATGGACCCAATGAGGACAAACCAGATTTTTATGAAAAATTCCAACGAGATATTGAAAATTTTGGTAACACTTCAGTAATAGTGGGGTGATTGGAATTAACCACGAAATTATGATATGGATACTTTACATTATTTGCATAAAAATAATCCAGAAGCTCAAAAAAAGGTTTATGTAATGATGGCAGAAATAGATTTGGTTGATGTTTATAGGGAATTACACCTAGAGGAAAACAGGTTTGCCTGGAGAGGACCTAACAAAAAGCAAGCAAGACTGGACTATTTTCTTGTCTCATCTGATTTTCAACCACCTATCACCTCATGTGATATTGGTGTTGCATATAGGTCTGATCAATCACCTGTATATCTGTCCATTCAATTTAATACAAACGAAAAAGGCCAAGGGACGTAGAAATTTAACAATGCTTTGTTATACGACAAAGAATGTATTGCTAATATTAAAACTTGTATTGTTGATTGTATTGAACAATTCAAAATAGTTGATTCTGAAAACATGGCAGAAATAGAATTTTCCATTTCAGATCAACTGTTTTGGGAAACATTAAAAATGATGATACGAGGTAAAACAATATCTTATTCATCTCTAAAAAAAAGAACGAAGTAGGAAAGAAAGAGAAGTAGAACTGCAGTTGAACAAATTGAACAGTAATGAAAACATTGATGAAAAAAGAGAAGACATTACTCGTATTGAACTTCAGTTAAGGTCTTTAAGAGAATCAAAAATAAAGGGGCAATAATGAGAGCAAAAGCAAAATGGCAAATTGAGAGAGAGAAACGTACAAAATATTTTTGCAATCTAGAGAAAAGAAATTATATAGAAAAAGTAATACAAAAATTAACTTTAGATAGTGGGGAAACTATCACTGATCAAGCAAAAATTCGCGCAGAACAAAAGTTATATTATGCGAATCTTTATACATCCAAGAAAACATTTATAAATAATATACACAGGACTAATTTCTTTTCTTTTTCTTTATCAAAATTCTCTCTGATGAACGAAATATTGATTAAGAGGGGGAATTAAAAAGCTCAGAAATTTATAATGCATTGAAAAATAAGAAAAATGGAAAATCTCCTGGTTTGGATGGTTTTACCAATGAGTTTTATGAGAAAAAATTTGCATAACATTATTTCTTTCCTGCTGCGTTCTTTTAAAGAAGCATTTAAAGAAGGTAAATTATCAATTTCACAAACACAAGGAGTTATCACCTGTCTACCTAAAGATGGAAAACTAAAACATTTTCTACAAAATTCGCGACCTATTTCACTACTTAATGTAGACTATAAAATAGTATCAACATGTATTGCAAATAGAATTAAAAAAGTCCTTGATCACCTGATTAGTGAAACTCAAACTGGTTTTATGAAAGGCAGATATATTGGTGAGTGTACACGTCTTATATATGACCTACTACAAAAAGTAGATGAGGAAGATATTCATGGCTTGCTTGTCTTGTTAGATTTTGAAAAAGCTTTCGATTCTCATGAGTGGAACTTTATATGCAAAACTTTGACATTTCTAGGTTTTGTTGACACAATAGTGAAATGTTTCACAACCCTATACTATAACTCAAAAAGTTGTAATCAAAATAATGGTTATCTATCTGATCATTTTTTAATAGAGAGGGGGTACGGCAAGGGGATCCGTTGTCTCCCAGCCTTTGGAACTCCTTAGTGCATCAATAAAATATGACAACAACATTAATGGTATAAATATAAAGAATTCTGAATTTTTACTCAGCCAGTACTTTGATCCTGGACGATAGTGAAGAATCTCTAAATAGTGCTTTGAATAAGATAGACTTGTTTTACTCCTGCTCTGGTTTGAAGGCTAACTTTGAAAAAACCCAAGTTATATGGATTGGGGCAAAAAGGGGCTGTGGTGAGGAGCTAAACACAGATAAAAAAAAAATATGGAACCGTTCAGGAAATTTCAAATTCCTAGGCATTCAATATTGTTTGTCAAAAGTTGATATATGTGTTGACAATTTTTAAGAAAAAAATCGAAAAGTAAAAAATCTCTTAAGTGATTGGTCATTTAGAAATATTATTATATATGGAAAAATTGTAGTTGTGAAAACTCTTGCCCTTCCAATTCTAATTCAATATTTTACTGTTTAACCAGGTCCATCCCCTGATATATTAAGGGAGATACAAGCTGTGCTATACAGATTTGTGTGGGATGGTAAAGGAGGACAAAATTAAAAGAAATATAGTTATCTTAAATTATGAGGATGGCGGTGTAAAAATGCCACATATAGAATCCTTTATAAAATCACTTAAACTGTCCTGGGTAAAATTTTTTAGACCCTTCAAATTGTTCTACATGGAAGGTGTTATTGGCAGATAATCTTGAAATGAATGGTGGAGAAAATATTTGGTATATTTCAAAATCAGCACTCAACAAAATTAAAAATGATTTTAACCCTTTTTGGCAAAATGTAATTTCATCATGGGCCTCACTGTGTGAACCTCTGTCCACAGACCCAAGTGACATATTGTCTCAACTTTTTTTTTAATGATAATATTAAGATTGGAGGAAGAACAGCTTTTTATAATAGTTGGATAAAGAAAAATATTTTTTCATAAATGAAAATGGAGAATTTTACAATTTTGAGAAATTTATTAGAAACTACAATATAGAAACAACTTTCCTAGAGTTCATTCTGACTAATTTATGCACTTCCACAGGAATGGAAAAGTGTTATTCATTCACAAGTCGTTTTCAAAATAAATACAGTCTGTCACAAAATTTTAACCGCCATAAAAACAATAGATAAAGTATCAACACATTTCTATAAAATTTTTCTATATAAAATAAAGGAAACCTCATCTCGTATACAAGAGAGATTGAAAACAAAACTGGGAATCGATATCGTGGCCGAATAATGGAGTTTCTTTTTTAGTCTTCCTTTACTTATAACCGAAGATCCCACATTAAGGGCATTTCAATATAGATTACTCCATAGAATTCTAGAAAAAAATACTTTACTTATGAAATGTAAATATAGTGAAACAGAATTGTGCACTTTTTGTATAGAAACAAAAGAAACATATATACATATCTGTTTGAATGTAGATATGTTCGAACGTTCTGGCTAATTTTTTTTCCAAAAGTTGGAAGAGGTATGTAAAATAAGTTTTCACCCAACTTTATCAAGTATAATCTTGGGTGTTAAATATCATGTATTTAAAGATATCCTTAATACATGTATTCTGATATTGAAGAGATATGTTCACTTATGTCGAGTTAAATTTACAGTTCCATCTGTTACTGAAGCAATTGAATGGCTTAGATATTATTATAGGATTGACATGGTCTCTATGAGTTTGTGCTCAACCAATAAAGCAATAAATATTAAAGAAAAATGGTCAAATATTGATAATATTATTAACGGAAATAGAGCTTAAAAGAAGATGTATTCTTTACTGTATTATTGACTTAGTATTCTATTATAACAATTATGGTTAACCATATATTTATGAGTTATTGCAAAAGTGATTTTTTGTACATCTTTATTTGTAGATGAGACTTGAGAATGATATGAAAATAAAAATATATATTACTAAAAAAACAATTGAAGTTTACAGTTTTATGTGATGTGATGTAAGTTAGGAGAGGGTCGAGCGCTCACATATTATACCCCGTTACGTTCTTTATATGTCTATCCAAAGCTAGTAACAAACCTATACTCAAGTAGTTGGCTATTCTTGGGATAGAAAATCCTTAGTAATTCGAAGTTTTGTAAACAGTTAAGTTATATTTCTGACCATATCAATGATAATCCATGTCAACATATAAATTTTACAAAGACTATCACATATCTGTCATCACCACTTCATTATCCAAATGACAAAACACTTCAAGGTATAATTAAGAAAAGGCAACCTCTGACATGAGACAGGTAGAGGATTAATTGGCGAGGTAAAACGCTGTTTCTGTAAAATATCACCCCCCTACCCTTTTTATTCCGAATCGTCGTAATAACAAAGGGAGTTTCTAAAACGTAGAATACATATCGGCTTCTCATCAAATCAAATCTGACAAGTCAGGCAGATAAACAGGTGGTCAAAACATGATTTGGTCAAACATTTTATAACAGTTTATTACAAGAACAGGATTTACTGTGTAATAGAAAAGAAAATGGAAACGGGGATGTGTAAAAGAGACAACAACCCGACCACAGAGCAAACTTCAGCTGGCCCCTTAACAATAATGTATCCTCGTTCAGCGAACAAGACGTCACACTTAACTCAGAAACATATTAACGATTAAAAATTAAAAAAAAACAAAACACACACACACACACAAGACTAACAAAGGCTAGAGGTTCCTGAATTGGGACAGGCGCAAAAATGCGGCGGGGTTTTAATATTGTTCCACGTTTATTACAATGTGGTGTTTTGCGCACATATTTTGTAAAAGTTCGGGAATTGTCCTTCAAAGTTTTACTTATGGCTTCATTGACTTGTTGACAAAGTTGTAGATCACTATTTACTTTTGCATTTTCAATATCAATTTACATTATCAATTTGATTTGCATCGATACCTTGTAGTTGTATCAAATAAACTCATCATAGATACCAGGATTAAATTTTGTGACTGTTACGCAGTATGACTGAATATCAAAAGGTTGAGTTTTGGTGATTGCCAGCATTCTTTGACACGGTTGTGTTACTGTGGATTCAATTATTTTCGTTGGTAACTAATTTTCGTGGATTTAGGAAAAATTGTATTTTCGTGGATATTAGATTTCGTGGTTGATGAATCCACAGTATTTAATTTTGATTGATCGGGACATTTTGTTGTTTACTATATCTGTATAACAGAGGTAGGTGATTTTCACTGAAATGATTTTCATTTTACGTTCCGTTATGTATCTTTTTGTTATTTCACTGATCCCGTTTAACAATAGAAATGTTTGAGATATCGCAGCCTAGACGTGTGCCTGTCCGAAGACAGGAATCTCGCTAGTAACTATATTGTAACCTTTAGCTTTATTCATTTCTGTATTGTTTAGTGTTTTACCGCTTCTTCAAATTTCTACAAGAAGAAATAATAGGGATAACCATTCTGCCGAAACTTTAATAGATAGAAAAAAATTGTAAATAGCAAAAATATTCAACAAATTTACATCTGCATATGAGGTTATTGGCTAAATCTACAAATGTAGAAGTAAATTTTGACAAATGTTTAGAAGCCTTTTGTTTCTTGTCATTCTCACATGACGCATATATGCAAAGTACATGAAAAATAAACTCATCATAGATACTAGGTATACAATTGTGTACACTAGACTCTCGTTTCGTCTACAAAAGACTCATCCGTGACAAAAAGTATAACTATTAAATACACAAATATTAATTTTAAACTAAACAAAACATGATTATCCCCAGTCACCAAGCAGTCCAAAATATCTGGAAACCAATACCAAATAGAATAACTAATAATCTTCCTGTATAAAGAAAGAAATATGTGACATTAATATTGTTAACATGAATTAAGTGAATGACTTTCGTAGTGAGTACCTTTCTGTGATAATATTTTTCTAAAAACTCTTACGATTATCAATGGTTGATGTGTTTCACATCATAATTTACATTACTGAAGTACATTCATGTTTATTAAACTATCCTTTGCTTGTGTTTTATACATAAATGTTAAACAGTTTACAAACTGGTTTTTGGTGTGGTTCGTGTTGCTCTGTCTTCTGTCTTTTGTTTTTTTTTTGCAATGGTGTTGTCAGTTTATTTTCGACTTATAAATTTGAATGCCCCTTTGGTATCTTTCGCCTCTCTTTGTCATGCAAGCCTGCAAGTATTATGGAATTATTTTGTTTGGGTAATTCTCACACTAACATAGTTTTCAGTGCTATAATCATTTGGTATTTAACTCTGTCTGTTCTGCTGTTAGACACGTGTATGGGTGTGTGTGTCATAACTTCAATTTTTTTTAAATATTTCTAAAGAACTGCTGTTTGTTTGGGATTTAGTTAACAAATGAAGATATTTAACTTCATTTGTAGCATGATTCATGTGATTTCGTTAGAGAATAAGTACCTTCACTGTTGAAAAAGGATCCATTCACCTGCAAACAATTGTAACTACCTTTTCTAAAACCTAATCCAGGTTGGAACTCGCACTGAAATAAAGTTGTAATTTGTCATTGAATACGACTTTACAATATACAAGTATGATGTATATATATTTAAGATAAAAGAACAAAAAGACAGCGTTTTTTTTAATCAATAAGAAAGGGATTAGAATAAAAAGTTGTTGCACAAAATTCAAACCAGAATTAAATTACAAAATTTCCATTCTCCCTATAATATTGACACAGGTCGTTCCTTCGTATTGTGAAATTAAAGCACAATTGCATATTTTTCCTTTTAAAAGGACGAAAAAAGCACAAAGGTACCAAGGGAACAAAACTTAAGTTAAAGAAAGACTAACCACACCACGATAAAAGAACAAGACGAAGAAAACTACCAACAGCACTCTACAAAAACCTAACAGAACAAAACGAAAGAACGAGCATTCCGAATATACCAAAATTCGTGAATTATCTCAGATGATACGGTATCTGTTCAAACATTTTATGTAATAAGTCTGTGTGTAAAATTACATGACATTTTCGTTTGTTCTGATATAAGGATCTGACCTGCACACAAAAAGAATTTTGGGCATTTCAATAGTCAGTAGATGAGGCGAATAAAATATAAAATCAATGTCTTGTTTCAATTTACCTTTGTATTGGGAAGACATTTGTGAGTGCCTCTAAATACATTTAGGAATATATCAGCAGATTCATCATCGTCATCAATGTCACATTGATTGATATCAGACTCATTTAAGTTCATATCTATGAATGCAATACCTCTATAAAAAAATAAGAAAAAATAAATAGTTCTCTGTTTCAGGACATGCATAGTTAAATAAAGGTGATAATACACGAATGTGTTATGGTGCGATTGAAATAGAATATGAAACATGTAGCCTCAAACTTATATGACACATGCAATTTTGAAAGAAACTGTTCCTCCTTTATTGCTACCCGAATATGATTTAACACTGGACTTTACTTTATATAAGCATACGACGTAGGACATTAGTGGAGAAGGAACTGCTAACCCTTCCAGAGCACATAACTTCATGTGTTGGGTTTGGTTAGATTCGTTACATTTTATTTTAGGTTTGTTTGTAAACTGTTTTATAAACTGTTACAGACAATTGTTTTGTTTCTGATGGTGATGGTTTTTCTGTCTTTCTCCCCACTTATATATTTTGTTAATTTTCGCATTTTAATCCGTTTTTCTGTTAGGTGGTTCGAGCGTACTATACTGTTAAAAAAAAAAAAGAAACGCATAGCTCGGATGAATTTTTCAAAATGCAAAATATATATTTTACAAGGTAAAATGAAACGGTATATTGCATCTTCGGCTTTTTACAGGTAAGTTTTAAACTTTAAATGCCCGTTCGTTTGAATTGGCTCTCTGCCTAGTGCATATGAATTTTTTCGCCGCGAAATTTTGCTAACGTTTTTCACGAGAATTTTGTGGTCAACTCACTGTTACACTTTTGCGCATATAATGACTAAGTTTGAAGATTTTTTTCATCACAACGTTAAAACGCTGCCATGCCAAGATTGGACCCTGCTATTAGAAAAATCGTCATCGGCCATCAACAGACCGGAGTGTCCCACAGTGAAGTAGCAAGAACTGAAAATGTTAACCAGAGCACTATTTCGCGACTTTGGAACAAATACCAGCAGACTGGCTGTACTAAGGACCGCCCGAGGAGTGGACGACCTCGCCTAACCACTCCTGGACAAGATCGCTACATCCGGGTATTTGACCGACAGAGGGAGTTATTCCAGCAGAACAATGCTAGACCCTACACAGTGCGTTTAACAATGGACTATCTTGAGCAGAATAACATCAATGTGCCACATTGGCCTTCCAAATGACCGGACTCGAATCATATTGAGCATCTATGGGACCGACTGGATAAACATGTGCGCCATCATCAAACCCCGCCTCAGACCCTTGATAAGCTCCGACAAATTGCGAGCAATTCCACGCAACAACATTAGAACATTAATAGCATCCATGCCGAGGAGATGCGTAGCAGTCTTAGCAGCGAGAGGTGGTCATACACGGTACTAACTTTAATGGCACCGGAAGTAACACTAATTGTGATAACTTGACTTTTGTTCATCAATCTCGAAGGAATTGGCTGTCCTCTTCTCAATCAAACACGTTTTGAGTGAATATCTTTATTAGTAATTGTAAAATTTCCATTCAAAATACACGAATTAAAATTCTTAAAAATCCATTATGCGTTTCTTTTTTTGCAGAGTATAGTTTAATTCTAACTCACTAGGAAATCGTTATCTAACAGTGACCGATAATAATTGCTTACATCAACATAATTTAGACTAATGGTCTCATTGGCAATCATTCCGCATCTCCTTATTTTTAGATATTGTTTTAAAAAGTATTCAAGTTGTTCCTTGTATCATAAACACCATGTTGAAATGTCAATCGTCTGAATTTACCTAACTAAGGAAAATGTCGATTAGAACTAATAGTACATTGTACGTTTGAATTGTTTCTCTTCAATTTATTCACAACTTTTACAGACTCGGTAAAGCTTGGCATATCATATATTCGTCAGTCTATTGTTGAAGTTTATATAGTGCCCTCCAAAATATCTTTTGGTTATTTTTGTCGTTCGGTTTCCGTCTCATGGATTTGTTCCCAGCATATCCGTTTTAATCATATTAAGTTTTTGAAAAGAAAAATGAAAAAATATTGAAAATGTGTATGGAAAATTGAAATAAAAAACCATAAACAAGACTTACTTGAAAACGGGATTTCCAGTGGCATCTTGTCCAAATATAGGCACAGAAAATGTAACTAACCAAATGTTATTAAACCCACAATCAAAATAAGGTTTACTCCAGTATCCATCTTCTTTTTGTGCAAAATACAACACAACATTCTCATCTTTCATGTCCGTACTACCGTTCCTATTTCATAAAGATTATGAATAAGAAAATGATACGGGTCAATTAGTCAACAATGAAATAATTATAGATTCCGGTATTATAATAGTTGCCTGTATTTAAAATAGCTTTGTCAATGTGAAATGTCAAAAAGACACAAAACAATGAATTCAGGGAATGTGGTATTGAGGGTAGAATTTTACAGAGATTTAGAGGCGATGCGGAGCTTGCAATATTGTAAAGAAAATTGTTTCATTGTTAAAAACCGAAGGTTTACATCTTAACGTCTTTTGTTTTATGTTTGTGTCGTTTGGTTACTTGATCATTGACGTATAACCCGCATTTTCCTTTATTCGTTATGACGTCAGTTGTACAGAAGATAAAATTTACACAATAATGCGAACTTTCAATATATGATGAAAATTCTAATGATTCTGAAAAATAATGTTTTCGTTTGCAGATTAATGCAAATGATTGAAAAAGTTCGCAAATTTTACAAAGTAATACTAAAATGTCGAAATTACGAAAAAGTTTGCAAATAATCCAAATGCTAAGAAAATCATCAACACAATTGTTTGGCGCAAATACACTTCTGTTTAAAAGTTATTTACTGACCTCTGGTGTATTTCCGTTAGAATTGACGATGCATTATCCCACTTTCTTGACTTTAGTTTGTAATACCACTCTGAATCAACTGATGTGTAAACATAAGAAAGAGATAAATCGTATAGACGAATGACTCCATGTTTATAATAAGCATAAGGTGCAAACTCTTTGTATCTTGAAAATACACCTGGCTCAAACGCAAGACCAGAACTGAACACTTTTGGTGATCCCGTGATAACGACATTTCTTGCAAAATTAAAGAATGTTAAATCTGGAATAGACTCCAATGTTCCTTTGTTCTGGTAAATTCTTGTCGACATGTAATTAGCATTATAAATAGCTAAGTTTGTATATCCATTCCACAGTGTGAAATCTAGAGTTAAGTCAAGATTAGCCGCAGAGCACATGTCTGTACGAGTATTTCCAATTATATTGAGAGCAGTGATTGCTTCTAACTTACCATCTTTTGCAAATGAGTTGATTTCTTGCATCAGAAGGAAACTTGTGAAGATAACAATTGAGAATCTACATTTTGGATTCATCATCATATAGACTTTCTAAAAAAAGGTTATATAAGTTATTTGTAAAACAAACTGTTTGGTTTTTTTCAATACACAATTTTCTTAAAACAACAAAGACAAGACGGAATTTTTGTTACAATAAAGGGATGGAATGTGGGACGCAATATAAACATTTTTCACATGCTTACACAATACTGAAATAAAGAAGTACTTGTTGGTATTAAAAAGCGTTTAAAAAGATCTGTGTTGAACTACAATCTTATGAACACTTTACGGGTAGAACAAACCATAACGAACGTGCAATCAACAAAATTAATATGAAAGTGAAAGACCAGTCACGTCAGTGAAAATGTTACAGAACTAAAAAGGTCAATGTAAAAGTAACAGGACAAAAAGGGTCAATGTAAAAGTAACAGAACAAAAAGAGTTAATGTAAAAGTAACAGATCAAGAAAGGTCAATGTAAAAGTAACATGACAAAAAGGGTCAATGTAAAAGTAACAGAAAAAAAAAAGTGAATGTAAAAGTAAGAGAACAAAAAAGGTCAATGTAAAAGTAAGAGAACAAAAAGGGTCAATTTAAAAGTAACAGAACAAAAAGAGTTAATGTAAAACTAACATATAAAAAAGGTCAATGTAAAAGTAACAGAACAAACAGGTCAATGTTGAAGTAAAAGAACCGTCAGATCAGTGTAAAATGAAAAGAAAGGCAGTCAAGAAAGGGTAAAAGTAACAAAACAGTCAGGTCATTAAAAAAAAAAACCAGAACATTCAAGTCAGGTCAATGTAAAAGTAACATGACAAAAAAGGTCAATGTAAAAGTAACATGACAAAAAGGGTCAATGTAAAAGCAACAGAAAAAAAAGTCAACGTAAAAGTAACAGAACAAAAAAGGTCAATGTAAAAGTAAGAGAACAAAAAGGGTCAAATTTAAAATAGCAGAACAAAAAGAGTTAATGTAAAAGTAACATATAAAAAAAGGTCAATGTAAAAGTAACATGACAAAAAGGTCAACGTAAAAGTAATAGAACAAAAAATGTTAATTTTAAAAGTAACAGAACAAAAAAAGTCAATCTAAAAGTAACAAACAAAAGAGTCAACGTAAAAGTAACAGAACAAAAAAGGTCAATGTAAAAGTAACATGACAAACAAAGTCAATGTTAAAGTAACAGAACAAAAAAGGTCAATGTATAAAGTAACAGAACAAAAAAGGTCAATGTAAAGGGTAACAGAACAAAAAAGGTCGATGTAAAGGTAATATGACAAACAAAGTCAACTTTAAAGTAACAGAACCAAAAAAGATCAATGTAAAAAGTTACAGAACAAAAAAGGTCAATGTAAAAGGTAACAGAACAAAAAAGGTCAATGTAAAGGTAACATGACAAACAAAGTCAATATTAAAGTAACAGAACAAAAAAGGTCAAGGTAAAAGCAACAACAAAAGTCTATGTAAAATTAACAGAGCAAACAAGTCAATGTTGAAGTAACAGAACAAACAGGTCAATGTTGAAGTAAAAGAACCGTCAGATCAGTGTAAAATAAAAAAAAAGGCAGTCAAGAAAGTGTTAAAGTAACAAAACAGTCAGATCATAAAAAAACCCCAGAACATTCAAGTCACTGTTAAAGTTACAGAGCAGTCAACGCAGTGTACAAGGAAAAACACAGTCAAGCCAATGTATGAGTTACAGAACAGTCAAGCCAATTTTAAAATAATAGAACGGTCAAGTCAGTGTTACAGTTACAGAACTGAAGTCAGTGTAACAGTAACAGAACAGTAAAGGCCGTGTTACAGTAACAAAACTGAAATCGGTGTAACAGTAACAGAACAGTCAAGTCAGTGTAACAGTAACAGCACAGTCAAGCCAGTGTAACTAATAGAACTGAAGTCATTGTAACAGTAACAGAACAGTCAAGTCAGCGTAACAGTAACAGCACAGTCAAGCCAGTGTAACTAACAGAACTGAAGTCAGTGTAACAGTAACAAAACAGTCAAGTCAGTGTAACAGTAACAGAATTAAAGTAAGTGTAACACTAACAGAACAGTCAAGTCAGTGTTACAGTAACAGAACTGAAGTCAGTGTAACAGTAACAGAACAGTCAAGACAGTGTAACAGAAACAGAATTGAAGTCAGTGTAACAGTAACAAAACAGTCAAGTCAGTGTAACAGTAACAGAATTAAAGTCAGTGTAACAGTAACATAATGGTTAAGGAAGTGTAAAAGTAACATAACAGTCAAGACAGTGTAATAGTAACAGAACAAACAGGTCAATGTTGAAGTAAAAGAACCGTCAGATCAGTGTAAAATGAAAGGAAAGGCAGTCAAGAAAGGGTTAAAGTAACAAAAGAGTCAAATCATTAAATAAAAAACCAGAACAGTCAAGTCAGTGTTAAAGTTACAGAGCAGTCAACGCAGTATACAAGGAAAAACACAGTCAAGCCTATGTATGAGTAACAGAACAGTACAGCCAATTTTAAAGTAACAGAACGGTCAAGTCAGTGTTACAGTAACAGAACTGAAGTCAGTGTAACAGTAACAGAACAGAAAAGGCAGTGTAACAGTAACAGAACAGTCAAGTCAATGTAACAGTAACAGAACAGTCAAGTCAGTGTAACAGTAACAAAACTGAAGTCGGTGTAACAGTAACAGAACAGTCAAGTCAGTGTAACAGTAACAGAACAGTCAATACAGTGTAACAGTAACAGAATTAAAGTCAGTGTAACAGTAACATAATAGTCAAGTAAGTGTTAAAGTAACAGAACAGTCAAGACAGTGTAATAGTAACAAAACAGTCAGGTAATTTAAAAAAAAAACCAGAACAGTCAAGTCAGTGTTAAAGTTACAGAGCAGTCAGCGCAGTGTACAAGGAAAAACACAGTCAAGCCAATGTATGAGTACAGAACAGTTTTAAAGTTTTAAAGTAACAGAACGGTCAAGTCAGTGTTACAGTAACAGAACTAAAGTCAGTGTAACAGTAACAGAACAGTAAAGTCAGTATCACTGTAGTAGTACAGTCAAGTCAGTGTATTAGTAACAAAACAGTCAGGTCAGTGTAACAGTAAAAGAACAGTCCAGTCAGTGTTACAGTAACATAACAGTTAAGTCTGTGTAACAGTAACAGAACTGAAGTCAGTGTAACAGTAACATACCAGTCAAGTCAGTGTAACAGTAAAATAACTGAAGTAAGTGTTACAGTAACAGAATTGAAGTCAGTGTTGTAGTAACAGAACTGAAGTCAGTGTAACAGTAAGAGAACTGACGTCAGTGTAACAGTAACAGAACAGTCAAGTCAGTGTAACAGTACCATATCAATCAAGTCAGTGTAAAACACTTGTTTAACAAAATCAAAATAACCAAATAACAGTAAAATGTAAAAATTATATCCCACATAAACAGTACGCGATCTTAGTCCAAACAAAGTAATAAAATCTAATCATTATTCTACCCCTATTTTAGAATTATATATGTTGCTATAGGTATTTTGCTTTATTTAGTTATAACTGATAAAATTGAGGATTGATTGTGTATTCTCCTGACACAAAATCGTCATGACAATAATAGAATGATTGTTGTTTTACTTACAGACAACCAACCATATTGACCTTGCTGACATTGACAATTAATAATAATCCTTTTCGCCACCTTTATATATTAACCTTTCTTTTTATATTAACCTTACTATAATCCAATCTCTACTCAACATTTCTATAGCATTAATCCCCGACCTTAACTCTTATCTATATTTTCCGTAATCCTATTATATTTAGCTTCTACATAACACACATTGTGTTCCTATTCCTTACCTGTAGCTTCAGCCGAATACACTGACAGAACTATATCCCACATACATTTCTAAACATTCATTGTTCACAATATTGATATCTGCCCTTTACTAAAAGAATAATTTTTCTGTCATAAACGATAAGGCAACCATTATATAAACATTAGCGAATAATTACCATGTTGAATGACATTTAGGTGTATACACAAATACACTTTGTCAACACAACCCGGCAAAAAGTGTTTTGACTCGTAAATGTATAATTTTTAGTACGCTGATGGACCACAAAAAGACAGCTTCAAAGAGACAAACAAATTTACCAGAAGTCTTCTGTTTTGCTTTATTCTTACTCCTAGATAAACGTGTAATAAATAAAATCATGTCTTGCCATATTGCAAATTTTAAAGTTCAATATGAACTGACTGTAATGACTAAAACAGATCATAAATGAACTTGATTTTCTGACTACAAGATCATAAATCTTCATTATCAAGAATCTTTACCAAAGAGGGACGAAAGATACCAGAGGGGCAGTCAAACTCATAGATCGAAAACAAACTGACAACGTCATGGCCAAAAATAAAAAGACAAACAGACAAATAATAGTACAGATGACACAACATAGAAAACTAAAGACTAGGCAACACGAACCCTACCAAAAACTGGGGGTGATCTCAGGTGCTCCGGAAGGGTAAGCAGATCCTGCTCCACATGTGGCACCCGTCGAGTTGCTTATGTTATTACAAATCCGGTAAATAGTATAATTCGGTAAGTCACATACCAAAGTCTCCCATACCCATCTACCTTCCTATCTCAGTTTACCCCGATTGGATTGTTTTATAGCTTATGCATTGTATGAAAACAAATTGATTAACGATGAAATAAAACCAAAAAAACATTTTAAGGCAATTACATTTCATAAACATGGAGCGAAATCACAGAGCAGTCCTCTGTATAAGATTTGCCCGAAGCCGAAGCCCCCAACACCTTAACTTCATCAAATTTCTTCACCAGTTTCCACTACAAAGCACACCGCAAAAAAGACTTACTCTGAAAAGAATTCACTTACTTATTATGTGTGTCTGTATGCTTAATCCTATAGTTATGCAGGGCTCGTATTGATTAATCCAATTCTATAGTTTTGCAGGGCTCGTATTGCTTAATCCCATAGTTATGCAGCGCTCGTATTGCTTATTCCCATAGTTATGCAGGGCTCGTATTGCATAATCCCATAGTTATGCAGGGCTCGTATTGCTTAATCCCATAGTTACATGTATGCAGGGCTCCTTTTGCTTAATGTTTAGTTTTCTTTATAGTGTTTTAGGAACTGTGGTTTGTCTTTTATTCTTATATCTCATTGATCATGATGATGTCTGCTTGGAGAGCGACTTGTTTTTTAAACCTTCATTTTGGATCCTCTCAGTTGTTTACATACACAGAAAAACAAAAAAACCAAAACTCACAAGTACATAAAAGCTTATAAATAGCATATTAGTTTATTAAACAAATCATGCAAATTAGGACACATTATAATCATAATTAAAATTTTCAAAATTGATCACAGATAGAAATGAGTTGATAAAACAACGAATAACAGAAATCTTGATATATTATAATTATATAAAAAGTGTAACTATTAATCAAACAAAATTATCACAGCAATTAATATGATAAACATGAATTATAGTTATATCATTCGTTTACTGAAATATATCAGTGATCTTCCAGCTGTTCGTTTTGTAATTTGGACATTGATTTCTTTACAAAATTATAGAATCTTCCGTTCCAATTCTAAATTCTGTTCCCCTTTTGGGTTCGTACTTCCTGAAATAAAGGTCAAATTAAACAAGTTTCTGGACAATTTTATATTGTTTCAAATTTAAGCCGGGATTATGTTGTCTTTAAGAGTTATAATAATGAGTTCTACTTTTGAATACAATTAATCATTATATCCTTACGTTTACTCTCAATTAAAAGATTTAGTTGCTCGGATAATCGTTGATAGCCTTTTTTGACAATTTGTTAGTTTCAAAGCAAACCATACAGATGTACATTATGTGATACGTTGGTTGCCCATCCGTTCGTTCGGCAATCTTTGATGTATTACTGGCTAAAACCTAAATATCATTTTATTTAGAAATCCTAAATACGTTTTTGTAATGTTCTGGTATCAATGGGTAAATGGACTTGCTTAATCATTTTATTTATATCATTGAATTTATTCTTAAGGATAATGCTTCAATTACTTCCTTTATAATTAATCAAAAATTTAGATTAATAAATTTAAATAAAATCTATCACCGATATGAGATCAACACCAATGATTTGTTATATCAACCACAGTGGGTGCCACTATGGGAGTAGGAACTGTTTTCCTTCCGAAACATTTAAGTTCAGCCCCAAATATTTTGATTGGGTTCATAGGCTGGTTCTCTCCCTTGCAACATACGGGTATCTGAGACACCCTTGTTGTCAGAGCCAAACAGATAAAGGACAGGGAACCAGTCTAATTAGGTTTGTAATATTCTATCTCTAATGTTCTGTGTAGTGTTTTGATAAATGTTGTCTTAATAGTCACGGTGTCGTCTGTTTCCTTTTTCTCATGTTTTTGAATCCCCCTTTGGTATCTTCCCCCTCTTAAAGTACCATGATTCCAAAATAAACACAAAGAATAATATATAATTAAACTTATAGAAAAAAAGTGCAAAAGGTTAATTTGCTTGTCCTTAAATTTTGAATTCTGTCCTACCCGTAGCAAGTGCCTCTGTTCTAATGATACATGTGATACTCACTCGGGCAAAGTTGATTTTATACGATTTTAGTTTTCATATAAAGGTTAGTTTTGTCTTTGGTAATTTGTATATAAGTGCAATGCTACCAGAGAATCACTCAAAAAGTGTTGGTAACAAATTTCCATGTACGCAGAATAATCGGTGCTTTATTATAAAGAAGACTTACGTGTGTGTGTACTTACGTCAACTTAACAATATTTTTATATTCGAACTTTTTTTGAGTGGCTTTTATTTTTTCCTCTTTTTGCTGCTTCTTTTCGTCTTCTGGTAGGTCGGGCATTTTGTAATATATTACTTCCTCTAATCCAGACTGAATTATTATCTTGGCGCATTCGTTGCAAGGAAAAAGCGTCACATACATACGACATCCTCTAACATCTGCCTGTATTTTATTTACTACAGCATTTAATTCAGCGTGACATACTACAAAAGCATTGCAAGAAGTAATCACATGTATAGAGTTGAAAACCTTATATATTTATCATTGAAATCATTTAAGTACAAAAAGTAAAACATATGACTATTATTTTTAACAACATCCAACGTTTTAAACATAAGTATCTAATAAAGTCTGGTTGCCTAACGTTATAGAGAAAAAAAGATATTTACTAATGTAGGTTTAATGAAAAGTGTGCATTATTGCTTATTTCTGTCAAAAAGTAGAACTAATTTTACAATTGGATTTCTCAAAGTTCTAATTTTTTCCTATAAGACAACTGACTTTAGGAAGACGGTATATACATTTGTATAAGTGTATATTTCTTAGTTGGTTCGATATACGAGTGTTTTGTAGTGACGTCTCGGATTTCAATGGACGTAATATTGTAACTAAAAAACTTTTACTGCATGAACATAGATGTCATAAATAAGTCACAACTCTACTTAATTGAATCACTATTGTTGATAATTATTGTGGAAGTCAACGTGCATGAACATAATAAAGAGTAGTATTTTGCATCCAGCTTTTAACGGTAACATTGTTTATAAAGTTAACATAATTAGGAAATGTCCTATAAATTCGTCTTCCTAACTTTATACATGTACATTTTATATATATTATTCGATAACTGCGATTCGTATTTCATTTGGGTAGATATCAATGCTAGTACTAGTATTATTTCTCTTGTTTCTTTGGTTTAGTTTGTTTTCGGCACCAAAGAAAGATCATATCTTTTTGTACTGTTTATGACGTTGCTGCGTAAAATATTCTATGAAGTACAATGAAGTACAGCAATTGACATTAAGTGTGAACGATATGATTTCTTCTCGGCCGTTTAAGCCATCAGAGCTTGCATTCGGTTACTGCGAGCATACAGTATAGTTTGTTATTCCTTTTGATTTTTAGTTCCCTATTATAATCTAGTTTAAGGTAGATGGGGTGTCTAAATTATAATCCATAGAATATTTTAATAATTTGCCAAAATGTAGTTTATATCAAGCTTTTTAAAAAAAAATGATAAAAAGAATGGGTCACGGGGCTTATTTTCACGCTACAGGTTGTTCAAAATTAACAGATTTTGTATAGATTATGCATCGAAAACCCAATTTTCTGCCATAAAACGAAAACTACACCATAGAATTTTGAGATAAAATATGAGAAGATAGCTTTAATAGTATGCTTTCAGATAAGAAAAAGAAAAAATGGGGTCACCGGACCCGTTTTCTTGCTACATAATAAAATAGGTAAATTCCTAACACATTCTATTGTAAAAGTACCTTCATCTGAATTATCTGCCCTTACATTTGAGTTGCCTCCCCTTATGTGGCAAAGTTGGAAAAAATTGAATCAAACAAAAGTTTTCTGTTTTTTGTAAAATACAACCATAAATATGATAAAACATGTCATTTTCTATATTGAAATGAAAATTCTTACACATGAATTACCTACTACTCTCAAAATTTGCACATTCTATTAAAGATCTAGACCGATTGTTTTCAGGTATTCAAAATCCAAGATGGAGGAAGACACCCTATCTACCTTAAGCGTTAAATGCTATTCCTGGTCTGACTTCTTTGTGTGTTCTTTTATGTACGTTTTGATAATCTACTGATCGACATTAAGACTTGGGGAGTTCAAATTGAAATAACAAAAACACTACATTTGTGTGTGCCTGTTCAACGTCAGCAACCTTTTAGTTTGATCTTGTATGTCATATCTTGAAATATATATATATATAAAAGGTTATGTTGTATGATTGCCAATGAGACAACTCTCCATTAGAGACCAAATGACGTAGATGTAAGCAATTATTTAGCTCCCCTCACTGCCTTAACAAAACAATGTATAAACCCATACCATATGCCAAAAAAGGACATGACAAATGTAAAAAAAATCACGAGAAAACAAACGACCCTATTCATGTACAAAACAATAAACGAAAAAACAAAAATGATATACAGCAACATACGACATCCACTGAATAACAGGCGTCTGACTTTGCACAAACACACACAGAATGTGGCAGGCTTAACATGTTTGCAGGAGCCTTACCTTCTCCCTCACCTGGGGCAGTAGTGTAACAGCATTATATAAGAACAAAACCAAAACCAATTAGTTGTGATGTAAAGCACAATTATTATAACAACTAACAAAAACACAAAAGACTCAAATTACTGATCTGAGAATACTCAAATTTTCAGACTGCTCCAAATGTTCCGAAAAATTACAGAGAGATGTATAGCAATGCATATAATGTGCATTCACTTTTATGTTGTGGTTTGTGTTCTATTGTTTGTCTTTTGATCTTTTTCATTTTTAGACATGGCATTGTTAGTTTATTTTTGACTTATGAGTTTGAAATTCCCTCTGGTATCTTTAGCCTCGAGCTCTTTTTTAAGATTTTTTGAAGTGGCCGCCGCTTAGTGGCAATTTGGGAGGGTGGCATCCGTTATTGTTTGCAATAGCAATTCTGGTTTGTTAATTATTTTTTAGGATTCATCAAATTGACTTACCATACAAGTGTTTATTGTCCTCAGCAGTTTGACCTTTTCCCCAGGGAAAGTCTTCATCCTTGCAATAGTTTGGCATACCATTATATCCCATCCCAACAATCCTATTGTCGTTATTGACAATACATGCTCCAACCTGAAATTATATCTTTGTTTATTGTTTTCGAGCTCTTTAATTTGAAATGGTTGTATGTATGCTTACTTAACCAATAAAACGATTGTTTTGGTGATGTTGGGGATTTTTTTTTCGTTAACTTCTAAGCAAATTTTAGAAACATATAAGAACGAGCAAATGTTAATTTAATATGTATATTAATCATACTATGTACCAGAAAAACAAGCTGAGCCGGATATGTAGCGTGATAGTATACTAGCTACGTTAACACTCGAAAGAGAAATATCACCCTACAAAGACATGTTATTTTGACGTCGAGCTGATCGGTCATTGATCTTCCTTTTAAATGCATAGAGTAAATTTAAAAAAGCACCAAATACCAATTTTTAAGTTTTGCTTAAACTCGATATGGTTTCGAACCCAAGACCTCTCGCATACGAAGCACGATACCACGAAAACCACCGAGGCGATACGGAAATTGAACTGAAATGGATATAGTTTTTTAGACAAATCTTGAAAAGAGTGTAATTAAGAAGTTATTGAGTTTTTATGGTCTATTTGCTAAATTTGAAAACAATTTTGTTACTTTTTACATTAAATGCTTTTTTGACAATTCGTTTTTCAGTCGATTACTATTTATTCAATATTTTGTTCAATAGGTCTGAAACAGGTTCAGAATTTTCTTAAAAGACACATATAAACCAAAATTAAGAGATCTTTCTTTACACTTTGGTTTAATAAAACCAAAAATTGTTTACCTTGATAGAAAGAAAAAGAATTGAATATCTTAATTTGTAAGTAAAAGTTGAGAATTTAAAAAATCTGGCGGATCGCATGCGAGTCGATAATGCGTTTAAACTTCTATCAAGACGGGGCAAGAGGCCTCAACGTAGCATTACAAGTACACGTTCATTAATTATTTTGTACATGCATATTATGATCAGTGCTTCCTTTACATGAAAATTATTCTTAAAGAAAACTATGAGCAAAACTTTAGTATAAACATTCAATACAACAGGAATATCATTTATTGTCACAAACCTGAGTTTTAGGATCTTTACTTCTTTGTGCTGATAAAAATGCTAACGCCATGAAATACTCGTCCCATTCTAAATTCCACTCACGCTTGGTACTCTTTTCGATTGTTTCTGTAAAATTCAGAAAAAAAACTGTTTGTGTAGAAAAAGACAACATTATGATAGATGTTGTCTCCGTGTGCGTAATTAGAAAATGTTCTGCTGTTTTTAATTATTTGATTTGTAAATACGGCTTTTGGAGATGATTGATTGTTGTTTTCGTCTCATTGAAGGCAATCATAGTTGTATGAGTGGATCATGTAAAAAGTCTATGCATAAACCATATATGAAGCTTCATTAGGGGGCGGGCACCCTGCCCCTATAAATCCGCCCCTGAATAAGAGTTTCAAACATTGATCATTTGTAGATAACTAAATGCACATTTACAACATAACAAGTTTCGGTTAGATTATAGATTACTGCGGAATATAACACGCTAGCCACCGAGTGTCATTACTCAAAAATGCGAGTTATGTTACTTTAAGGTATTAATACAAAGGTATTTTTTATTTTAATAGGAGAATTTGGTGCCAGTTTAAAATGGACCAAATCTAAATTAAGTTAAAGGAAAAAAACTAACTCAAAGAACGGTATAGAGGTATAGGGGGAGGGTTGAGATTTAACAATACATGTTTAAAACGACCGCATTTTTGCGTCTGTCCCAAGTTAAGAATCTATAGGCTTTGTTAGTATTTAAAAAAAAAATTGGTTCATTTATATGTTTCAGAGTTTAGTGTGGCGTCCATTTTGCTGAACTAGTATACATCATTGTTTAGGGTCCAGCTGAATCCCGACTCTGGTTGCGGGATTTTCCCGCTGGGTTAAAGACCCATTGGTGGCCTTGGGCTGTTTTCCCGCTGTTCGGTCGGGTTTTTGTCTCTTTTACACATTCCCAGTTTCCATCCTCAATTCTATATCTGTGATATAACTATTCCTTTACTAACGTTAGAATAAAACTACTTCAACTGGTAAACGTAACTAGAGTTTTCGAGCTATAGATATATCACTCTACGTATAAACAGTTTCAAAATTAGTTCAGATTTAGCAACTTCTTCATTTTCCAATGTTCACTACTAATATATACTTCATTTCCTTAATTCAATTCTCGTACGTTGATTGTACAGCTTTCAAGGATTTGTATCATAGTTATTAATCTTGTTTCAATGTCGTGTCTTAGTTGACTGTACAAAATATGCACATATTCATTGTCCAATCAAATCGTTGTATATTATAAATAGACTAGCTCTGGCTTATCACTGCCTTCAGAAGTGAGTTGAGGATACTGAATCAATTTTTATGTTAACATTTTTTTTCATTTGCTAAAAGTTACCATCAAATGCACATTTTACATGTCGTAACTAAGGACTGACCCGCCATTTTGAATTGCTTGGGTCAACAAACGATCGATTGCTAACCTCAAGCACGCCGTTTTGATGATTTAATCCAAATTTGAATCGTAGACGGTAACGTTCAGTTAGGTGCATACGATACAGTTTTTAGTCCACGGTGATTTTTTACGAAAATTTACATACAAGCTATTTTTCACTTAGTGAACTCAAATATGTAAACAGTAAAATAACAAAAATACCGCACTCCGAGGAATATTCAAAACGGAAAGTCCCTAATCAAATGGCAAAATCAAAAGCTCGAACACATCAAACCAATGGATAACAACTATCATATTCATGAATTGGTACAGGCTTTTTCTTATTTAGAAAAATGGTCGATTTAACCTGGTTTTATAGCTAGCTAAACCATTAATTGTATGACAGTCGCATAACATGCCATTATATTGACAACGATGTGTGAACAAAACAAACAGACATGATAGGTAAAAATGTCAAAAATAGGGGTACATCAGTCAACATTGTGTTATAATCTTAATCACTATAATGATACTAATACAAATATACCTTCATGTGCTACTTTTAGGGATAAATGGGGTCAAAGTTTTATACATTTATCAAAATATCCTTTGAACAGACATACCTAAATATTTTTTGTTTCAAAATATAACCACAAGCAGATTTTTGTAAACACATTTGGAAAACCGTTAAATTGTTTCGAATTCAAAGGATCGTATTAAAGCTTATAGATTATTAATTTCAATGTTTGTTAAATACATTGGATAGCAATCATCAGCTCAGTAGTCAGTACGGCTTGATTTATAACAAAGCTTTGCTAAAATTGTTTATCTCCAAGGAGGGATTGGGGATTAAAAATATGGTCAATCATGTCCTCTTTCGACCGGCAGTAAAACCCTCACCAAAGTGGGGCGTCCGTTTGGCTGTGCGGGATGTACAAGTACACAGCCATTCCCGGCTCTTTTAGCTATTTTTTCAAATATTTTTGCCCCGAGCATCACTGAAGAGACATTTATTGTCGACATTCGCATCTCGTGAAGAAAAATATTGATAACCTTAATGTTTTTAGTAGAATATTTGTGTATATATTGAATTTTCTAATTTTTTACTGCTATTTCAGATTTCTTTCCCATATTTCAAAACTCATGGGTTCGCAACAGTAATATATATAAATCATAAGATAGTATTGACTGTAAAAACAGAAGTAGCATGAAATGAAAAGGAAAAGATTACGAGTCCCCTGTACTCGGTTCAAAAGACTGTTTTAAAAAGGATCCAGTGATTTCTTATATATCGTTATATTGCTAGGTCATTATAAAATGTTTTCATTACAGAAAATGAGCATTATATCGAAAATGGTTAAATTTGATCAATATTGTAATATGTTTTTGTGACTTATTGGGAATATAAATTGTTCTTCACTAAACTACAGTTATAAACTAGAAAAAAAATCAGTTTTAAATGCAGATATTGCCTTCTTTCTTATTCACATTTTCTTTGAAAAACCAGGACCGTTTGTTAAAAACCTTGACGTTTTAAATGTTGCTCTCGAAAAACAAAACACTAAGTAAAGTAAAACGCTGAAATTTAAGTGAAAATCAAGGAAATTGTGCGCAGTTTGTGCTCAAAGTATGCATAGTATTCAGAATAAGATGAACAGTCATAAATAAAACTATTATACTTGCGAAATAGCAATAAATCGGTCTGAATGCATGTAATATCACTCGAAAAAAGTGCACTGATTTACTGAAAAAAAACCACGATCAAAGACGGACACTATACCTACGGCGATTGATTTTAAATGAAGGGTCGAATGGGACTGATGAATGGACGGTGAAAATTTAAGATTGCCTATTGAAAAGATGTATCTGTGGTTAGGACATAAATTTTTTCATTAATGTAAATTGTAATACATCATCTGCCGACACCTTAAGATTTTACAAGATTTCTCTTTACGTGCAACACATATCAGTATAACTCTCCCACCACGGGGATTGTATTTTTAGACTTAATTTACTCAAAGGGAACGGTAAGAGAGGTAGATACATGGTGCTCGATATTTTTGGTATTGAAATTGTACAGCTTAAACTTCGTTTGCGTGATAATATTGTATTATTAGTTGTTTCGTCATATAAACTGTACATAAGGTAAGCATAGATTTAAATAGAAACGATATCATTATGTATAGGGGTTTCTTTTTACAATACATTTAGCTAAGACATTCACTCAATTGATCAAATTCGACTAAATGTTTAACATGTACCCCCAATCATCCATTATAAGGCAAGCGGCATCCCAACCTCAAAATGAATGATAAGTGTTTGATTAAATTAATTTCATTTAACACCGAATTTTGCATTTTGAACAAGAAATCAGTTTTGTTATTTTGTTAACCATTACCTTCAGTCAATATAGGACCATTAAGCTCGAGCTATAACTGTAATGTAACGTACCAAACCTCGTCCTTCATTGTCTAAATACAAGTATTTTTGATTTTTTAGCACGGATTTTATTGGTACAAAATTAATTTCACGAGACCTATAATTCTAATTAGTTGTTTTTGCTTATGCACAAAAACAAAGAAAAATGAATATAAAGCAAGCCATATTTAGTTAAAAAAAAAATCATGAAAGATACCAAGCCTATAATGTATTACGGCAGACGCACGTTTCGTCTACACAAGACTCGTCATTGGCGCTCGAATCAAAACAGTTGGAATGCCAAATCAAATACAAAGTTGAAGTTGAAACAATAGATAAAATTCAAAAATTTGAACTCAAATTCAAATTTTATGAATAAATTATACTTACCTGACATATGTACTTAAGGATTTCAAACTCGTTGGTATTAGACTCGACCGGAAGTTAAACACGCGCGGGAACCAGATGTTATGCTACATCCGGTTCACCATGAACTATAAGTTTTCTCACGGTGGTTTGAAAGACCCCGTTAAGAAAACTTAAAAACTTCCTGCGGAGGAAGAGTGGGTAGTACATATGTCAGGTAAGTATAATTTATTCATAAAATTTGAATTTGAGTTCAAATTTTTGGAAATTTATATCAAAAATAAGTCACTTACCTGACATATGTACTTAGAGTTTTCTTTTGATTACAAAGTAATAATTTGTAGTAGGAAGTTTTGACAAAAAGTTTTCCTAAAATACTTCTTCCAATAAACCACAAACTATAAAGTATAGTATATACAACTTATTATACATGGAAATACGTACTCTTACTATGTAGTTCTAAAAAGTTTATATATATTTCAACATTGTTGAAAATCATCTGATCATACAGATTAACCGTTAAAAACCTGTATTTTCCAACACTCAGGCAAACTGTTGTCTATGTGCATTTAAAATCTACCACCATTCCCACATAATGAAAAACATATATACACACTCCCTCAGCAAATCGCCGAGGAAAAACTCATTCTTCATCCTACAAATTTAAAAAATTCACATTAACATCTTTTAAAGAAAACTTAGTAAAAGTTGTGGATTTTGCCCAATCAGCACTATCCAACACATTTTTCATACTAACTCCCTTAAAAAGGGCCCATGATGGTCCCACTGACCTAGTAGAATGACCTCTTACTTTGTCTATTTGCTTTTTATTCTGCTTGTAAGCCATCTTGATAGTTTTCACTATCCAATGTGATATAGTTTGAGCTGTCACTGGTTTGTGAGGCTTGTTAATTGTTAAAAA